AAAAAATATAAATCAGAATTATTTGTTTATCATTTTGACAAAGACACAAAAGATGGCATAGTTTATGGAACTTGTAAACATTGCGGGACCGTCATAAAAATGGGAGTTTCCGGCGGTTATGGCGGTCCGGAAAAACACCTAAGGTCGAGGCATCCCGTGGAGTACGCCAAATACGAGGCCAAAAAAAAGGGACGACAAGAAGTGCAAACCCAAATTTCTCGGTTTGCTAACAGAGGTAAAGGCGGCCTTTTTGCTTATAGCGACGAGCAAAATAGGCAAAAAATGGCCGAAATGATTTGTGAAGAAAATTTGCCATACATGTTTTCTGAAAAACTTGGTTTTATTGATTATTGTCAACAGACATTAAACCCTCAAGCACGAGGTTTTTCAAGAAAAACAATTAAACGAGAAATTATTCGCCAGTATAAAATGGAAAAAATTAATTTGACAAATTTTTTTCTCAATTTTAATTCTCGTGTTGCTATTTGTTCTGATATTTGGGGTGAAACTTATCATAATTTGTCTTATATGTGTGTTACTTGTCATTGGATAGATAGTGATTGGATTATGCATAAACGTGTTCTTGCATTTCTTGATTTCAATGATCAGCATACTGCTGAAAATATCTTCCTATTGTTTCAGAGTATTCTGCGGGAATATAACTTATCTGAAAAAGTTTTTTCATTTTGTTTTGATAATGCTACTAATAATACTGCTGCTATTCCTAGACTTAGAGAAATTTGCCCAGCGTCTACGACTATGGGTAGATTTCTGCATCAACGGTGTGTCTGTCATGTTTTAAATTTATGTGTTCAACAGGGACTACAAGCTATGGGCGGAGTTTTGACAAATATTAAAGAAGGAATTAAAAAATTTTGGGGGGCTCGTCTTATTTCGAAATCCTGGAAGATGTTCTGTAAGTCTAAGGGTAAAAAAGAAATAAGTTTTGCCAGAGATATCAACATTAGATGGAATAGTACTTACAAATTGATTGCACAGATCCTAAGATATAAAGAAGAACTTGCTGAATTTTTTAGGGATGAACTTCGTATAATCATTAATCCTTTTGAATTTGTTATTGTTGAAAAATTGAATGCCGTATTAGAAGTTTTTAATAACGCAACTCTTACTTTTTCCCATGTTTACCAACCAACTACAAATACATTTTTTAAAGAGTGCATTACAATCGCAACATGTTTTCGTGAAGGTATGGCTGATCCAGATTTGTACCCTTATGTCTCTCCTATGAGAGATAAATGGTGTACTTATTATTTGTACATTCCTGATATTTATAAAATAGGTATTATTTGTGATCCACGATTTAAGATTGAAAATTTTAAAATTCTAATTGAGTATTACTACAGTTGTTTTTTAGATAAAAATAGTTATTACTACAGCTATTTAGTAGAATGGAAAAATGAAAGAGATAATGCTATAACTCTTTTTGAGGATTTGTTTAAGGAATATCAAGGGTTATACGGTACTGTACAAGAAGAAACAGCACCACCTCCGCCCCCGAAATCAAAAAAAGGTTTTGCCGGCATAGTCGGTGG